CTAAAACTGAATACATGGAATGCGAATACATGGAATGCAATTTTAGTGGTCGTAGCTCTAGTGACAGAAGTGTAACTTTGGATGATCAAATTTTTAAAGTGAAAGATTTAGATATCTCGGGTCTGTTGTTCAAAGCAATGGTGATATAGATGGGATGTTAATAGTGGAATTCATGTTGGTTGGTTGAAGTGGAGGAATGTTTTGGGCCTTTTGTGTGATAAAAAAGTATCGCTTAGACTGAAAGGAAAATTTTATAAGATGGCGGTGAGACCTGCAATGCTCTATGGCGCTGAATGTTGGCCTTTAAAAGAGAAGCATAATACTAAGTTAAGTGTTGCCGAGACGAGAATGATTAGGTGGATGAGTGGCTTTACAGTTAGAGACAAAATGCAAAATGAATATATCCGTGATAGGATTGGTGTAGCTACATTGACGGATAAAATTAGAGAGAATCGTCTTAGATGGTTTGGTCACATTAACACATTAAACATCGACCATCTTATCGACCATCTTATGATCCGATTAGGAGAGTAGAAGTTTTAGATTCGACTTATGTTAAGAAAGGCAGAGGTAGGCCTAGAAATACTTGGACTTACTGTATAAAAAATGATCTTAATTTATTAGAACTAGGTGAAAATATGACACTAAATAGGACGCAATGGAGAAAAAGGAGTCATGTAGCCGACCTCACGTGGTGGGATTAAGGCTTTTTTGTTGTTGTTGTTGTTGTTTGAATTTTTGTTAAGAAAACTGAAATAAGATGGGTATGATCATCAATAAAGGAAATCAATTATCTAGACCTAGCGATATATTTTTACTGTAGATGATTCCCCAACTTTATATGGATTAAAGTAAGAGGTTGGAAATATTTGTGGTTTTAACAAGAATGGGAAGGAAAAGTGTGTTAAGCGAGATGAAAATATTCACACAAAAATCCTTTTTAACTTTATTTGGTGAATAGAGAAGATAATATTTTTTAAGTTTAGTGTCGGTGTACTAGACAATTTTGTCAAAGTTAGACATCCAAGTAATTACTTGAAAAGTGTTTCAAATTTGAAATGGAAGTTGATTAAATATGCAACTCACTGTTTAAGCGCATTTCTTAATTGAAATAACATTGTTTAAAACAGAGAGCTCTAAACACATCATTGCACTATCAACATCTTCCTCAAATTCAAATCTTGAAGGTGGCAAAAATTAGATGACAAGAAAGCAATACTTTGTTGATTTATATTAAGTTTTATTCTAAGTTAAGCAACCAAAGTAGAGAGTCAAACATTAGATTTTTTTTTAGAGAATGACTGAATATATTCTGACCAATTTTGATAGTGACCCATTTGCAATTTAGACATTATAACTTTTGGGGATCGGTTCTAATTGTGGAAGATATTTTCTCTTGTTATACGATCTGATTTTATTAAGTCTCTCATTTTATTTGCAATGAGGGCATTTTGAATTTACCTTTTCTAAGCAACTAAGCTTATTTCAATGATTTTCTTGAAAAAGTATTTACTGAAAGAAGAGTTGATGGTTCTCGGCTTGGCTTGCTATCTAGATGATTATAATAGCAATAAGAGTTCTTATTTTCTTTCTTGCTAGTTCTCACTGAAATTTTCAATCATAAATTTAGATGTTTTGGATCAAGATTTTTATTTTGAAGTTGATTTATAACACCAGAGTTATGAGATTCTTAACCACTGGTTTCTTTCATGGTAGTTGCCATTGCCTTTTTCCAGGAGGATCCTTCAAATACATTTTCGCTACTATTGCTGGACAATGAATAGCATTAAGCGTTGGCGGATGTCCCACTGGCTTCTAGAAGATCCTCCATATTGAAAGACGCATCAACCTAATAAAGAGTACTACAATAATGTCTCTAACATTATCTCAAAACTAAAATGAGAAGAAAAAAAAGAGTATAAAATGAGTGATTGTATGATTGAATTTTATTCTTTCTTTATGTAGGAAAAATAAGATGGGAAGTTCGCAAAATTAGATTTAGAAACAACAATAGAGAAAAGAAAACTTTTGGAAAGCGCTATTTAATTCTAGAATATAGAATTAATAATATAGAATGAAATCGAATGTTTTTACCTACAAATTACTGAATTGTTGGAAATTGTCCGCATATTGTTGGATAGTCATAAATGGAAATTGATGTCCTTAAATTCTTAGGTTGATGTAGATGGAATGGTGCTGACCACAAATTTAGGAATTGTTTAAGTATAATTGTTCTAAAGGTATCAAATAATGGAATATATGGCCATTCTAGGAAGCAAGTTTAGACAGCATTCCTCTTTTCCCTGCATTTAAATGTGCCATGTTCCTGAAAATTTTCAGAACACATAAAAAGCCTATTTTTCCAAGATAATTAGCAGAAGATGCCGACGTCACCAAAAGAAATAAGAGCACACATTATAACTACTAATAGAACAAACCTGAGTGTCATTGGCTTCTGAACCACTATTTGTAAAAAAGGCCTTTCCCATTTTTCTAACTGTGAACATTTCAAGAAGTGTTTTGGCGAGATCCTGTATGAAAAAGAATACAAGATGATTTGTGCGTCACTAAAAAATCTAAGATGAGCTGCATAATAATGCAAAATTTGCATGAAAAACTAAGCCATATTCCTCAATCAATTAGTAAAATTAATTCTCAAGGCACTTGCATTGAAGAAAAGATAACTGCAATAGGTACATTAAACGATTCAGTGGAGAAAATGCAGATTTGTAACTCATGCAGCAGAATGAAATTGAAAAGAAGAATACAAATAAACCTGTAAAAATATAAATTTAAGACAATGGAGCTAAAAGACATTCAACATCCTCAAATGAAGCGTGTCAAGGATAGGACATTTGTTGATAAGTTGGTGAAGGGGCTTTACTACATTAATATCGCAAGAAGTACTCCAAAAACAGAGAATACGCATTGATCATAGAGTTAAAAATCTGAGACCAAGTGAACTATAGCAGTCATTGCCCATTCTAAAGTGGAAGTAGCAAGATACAGTAATGAATTTAATGAAGGGATTTCTTCAATACAGACAGTATGATTGTATTTGGGTGATATTTGACAGATTGACAAAAACCGCTCACCCGTTGCCTATTAAAAAGACTTACTCAATTGAAAAGATGACAAAGTTATACATAACAAAAATAATAAGATTATATGGTATTTCAATGAAAAATGTATCAGATTGACATGGTGGGTCCCTATCTAGATTATGAAGACTATTTTCATGATAATTTGGACAAAATTATATCTCATAACAACATTTCATCCATAAGCAGCAGATCAACCAGAAAATATTAGACAAGTGCAAATTTGCTGAGACCATATGTACTTGAATTTGGTGGCAATTAAAAGGATAGCATTTTCATGATTAAAATAACTTATAACAAAAGTTACCAATCCAATAGTAAAATAGAAACCAATGAAATACTATATAATATAAAATCTAGGCTATTGAATTTAATTGATGTTAGAGAAATATAGTTGATGGGCTCAAAAATAGTTGATGAAGTTATAAAAAAAACAAGTTAATCAAAATAGATTGAAAACTACTCAGAATTATTAACAAAGGTATTAAAACACAAAGTTTAAAATGGTAGAATTTAAATTCATTAAATTTGTATTTTAAAAATCAGACATATGAAAGATATCATTAAATTTGGCCCAGGAGAGAAATTGAGTCCCAAATTAACGTGGGGTCTTGGGGGTTGAACCGGCCCCAACCGGTTCAACAAGAGAGGTTTTTGTCCAACAGAAGGTTGGACCGCCCCCCTCTCCCTCTTTTCATTGGGCAGGAATTATTCCCCTCTTTCTGTTTTCATTTCCCACCAATTCATTTTCTATTTATATGTTGCTTCTCTATTTTAGGGATAGTTTTTTATGAGTCTTTGCTGAATTTCTGTTTGAGACAGCCGTCGGCGTCCTCTTCCTTTCTAGAGTTTAATCTGACGGCGATAAGATGCATGCAGTAACTCGTCCAAGGTGGTCATCTTCTCCAAGGGTTCGAGAGGTGCTCCGGTTGTAACTCAATCCCACAAGAACAGTTATCCTTTTCCCACTCCCCTCCGCAACCCCTCTTCCTTGATTCCAGCCACAAACCCCATTACCTTCCCTGTCCAACCAACCGTTCGCTTTCCTCACCTACTATCGTAGCCCTCTAGCACCCACGTCACCTTTTTTTTTGGATCCACCCCACGGCCCCCAGCTGACTAGAATTCATCCCACATCACCTACTACTTTGGAATCCATCCCACACCCCAACTTACTATTTTGAATCCACCCTTGCTCTTT